AAAAAAAAAAAGTCCTTTCTGTGGCAACTTGTAAATATAAATTATGAGTACATATAACTAATTTTTTATTAAATTAATGTTGTATGCCTGACAATCTTAAATTTTCTTTGCAAGTAATACGGCTGACAAAAAAGTCCATTTCCTTGAACGGACAAAGCCCAATGGCCTCTCCTAATCATGTCTAAATACAAAGTTAAATGATTCCAAGTAGTGAACGATTTTAGTTGTAATGAAGGACTTCTATAATTAGTGAACACATATCACAAGAAATTAAATTAACTTCTGCTTCATCCTTGGAAGCACTGTATTTTCCACCACACCAGCAACTCAGTGAAAAAGAGTGATCTTCATTTTAAGACATTTCTTCAAGATATATCTGAACATCTACTGGTCTTAAATTTCTTAGATTATCTTCATGCCACTGTAGGTCATACTCCTTTTTTGTCTTTTCATTCTCTAAAATTTCCATGCCTGATTGATTTCAATGAACTTCTGTATACATTTCTCCACTGTTCTTGCTGGTACATATGTACTTTATTTATCTGGATGATACATTAATATGAATTTTTGATCCTTTTGTTTTAGGTCTGACACATTTACAGATGAATCTGCCCCCAGAATGCTGTAGCAATCCTTGTTTGGTATCTGTTCAACTGAATCATCCACTGAACAAAAGTGTGCTTCAGCAAACTTCACATAGCCACTGGTGCCCACTCCTTCCGTGCAGTCCACCAGAACTCGGAAAGTTGTTTTACTTTTTAAGCTTTTTTGTTAAAAATTAAATACAAACACACACAATAACCTATATCAGGGTCTATCACATAAGCAATATTTTGATCATCAATATCACTGTTTTCCACCTTCATATCCTGTCCCACTAGGAGACCTTCAGGGGCAATGACACACACAGAGTTGGCATCTCCTATAGCTTCTTCTGGAATACTTCCTGAAGGCCTGCCTGAGGCTGTTTTATAGTTACCTATTTTTTATAAGTAGAAGATATATAATCTAAAACAAAGAGAAACAGTATAGTAAATACACAAACCAGTAGCACAGTCATTTATCAAGTTATTATGTCCTATGTGAGTGGCAGTGCAGTGGGTTTGGTTATACTTGCATCGCCACAGCACCCCAGTAATGCACTGCGCAACCACATTACAGCAGCTGTACAATATTACCAGGTGAGAGGAAGTTTTTGGCTCCATCATAATTTTATGGGACGACCATTGCACATGCAGTATGCTCAACAACCAAAACATTGTGCACACTAGACAACAAGTAGGAAAACTAATTCAAACATAAGACATATTCACTGATAAGACCTCAAAAAAAATCTTTATTGCTCATTGGAACACTATTTGTATGTAAAACTAAATCATTTTCAACTTTGCAAGTTAGCTTTTTTCCCCTTTAAAAAAGTATTTAAAATTGTCATTAGCTACTTTTAGTATACTAAAATGATAGATTACTATAGTAACCTATTTGTATACTCTGAGAATAAGGAGACATAGCCCTTCAGAATGAGTCATAACTAGGACTTGAACCCCAGGATCTGCATTTACTAAGATATTTGAAATTGGGCAAGTTATTTTATCTAGCCTGGCCTTAATTTCACCATTTATAATCTGAGATTAAAAATAAAAGTCTCAGCTACTCAGAAAGCTGAGGTGGGTATTCCATGAGCCAGCCTGGGAAACAGTGAGACACTATTTCTAAAAAAGATAATAATAATAGGCCATTTGGGTGCAGCAGCTCACATCTACAATCCCAACACTTTGGGAAGCTGAAGTGGGAGAATTGCTTGAGGCCAGAAGTTCAAGAGCAGCCTGGGAAACACAAGGAGAATCTCATTTCTATAGAAAAAAAAAAAAAGTTAGCTGGGCATAACATGCATCTATCTGTAGTCCCAGTTATTGAGGAGACTGAGGCAGGAATAACACTTGAGCCCAAGAGTTCAAGGCTGCAGTGAGCTATGATCTCACCATTGCAATCCAGCCTGGGTGACAGAGTGAGACCTTGTCTCTTAAAAGATAGTAATAACAAATAAAATTAAAAAAACATAAAAATCTCACTCAGTGTTATGAACTGAGAATCTACAGTGTTTAGCACTTAGTGAGTCTCAATAAACATTATCTATCCCTAGCTCCCCTCAAAGAAAGGTTTTATAAACAATCTTTCAGATAGCAGATTAGCAGATTTCCCTGTATGTCGTTCAACTTTGTGGCCTCACCTTTAATACTCCTCTATCTTTTTTGGAGGTAATATCCTCTCCCTGTTCAGCGACGGTGGCTGCTGGGCTTTCTCCATTGTTCTTGGCACCTTCATCAGTAGTCATTGTCTTTTGTAAGTAGAAAACCTGCTGAGAAGAAACACGTTTTAGCTAGGAAAAAATCACTTCTTTATTCATCTTAAATGCCCCTAGGAACTGAGGTTTACTGAGGGCCCATATGGTAAGACACTGAAAATGAAAACAAAAGCATTTGCTATGAGCATGTATTAATGTTATCAAGTATGGAAATAAAATATCATCCAATTCTTTAATTTCCCATCTAGTTCTGGTCCCAAATTAGAAAATGGTACATAGGGCGGCGCCTGTGGCTCAGTGACTAGGGCACCGGCCCTATATACTGAGAGTGGTGGGTTCAAACCCGGCCCCGGCCAAACTGCAACAACAAAAATATAGCCGGGTATTGTGGCAGGTGCCTGTAGTCCCAGCTACTCAGGAGGCTGAGGCAAGAGAATTGCCTAAACCCAGGAGCTGGAGGTTGCTGTGAGCTGTGACGCCACAGCACTCTACCAACAGCGATAAAGTGAGACTCTGTCTCTACAAAAAAAAAAGAAAGAAAGAAAGAACGAACGAATGAACGAAAGAAAGAAAGAAAGAAAGAAAATGGTACATAGTACAAGTCAGATTTGGTAGTGATTATATTCCTTAACATGAATACAACAGTGAGAAGTGGTTTCAGAACTTTGAAAACATCTTTTTCTTATAGCCATATTCTTGCGAGAACTAGAACTTCTTAGGCAATCTGATAAAAGAAGTGACAATCTATCACAGTGGTAAACAGAACAGGCTTTAGAAGCTGACAAACCTGAGTCTAAGTCCTAGCTCCGAGCTTTTGATATTAGCTATTTATTTAACCTCACTGAGCTTTAGTTGCTCACCTGTAAAATGGATATAGTATGCTGTTGATAGCGTTAAAGTGAAACATTAACAAGGTGACATATGTTAAAAGATTAGTGGAGACTCATAACTAAAAATGCAAGTATACTGCTCTGTACCCGTAGTTCAGTGGTTAGGGCACTGGCCATGTGAGCTGGGGCTGGTGGTTTCAAACCCAGCCTAGATCTGCTAAACAGTGGGTTCGAACCCAGCCTGGGCCTGCTAAACAATAACTACAACCAAAAAAGTAGCTGGGTGCTGTGGCCGGCACCTGTAGTCCCAGCTATTTGGGAGACTGAGGCCAGAGAATTGCTTAAGCCCAAGAGTTTGAGGTTGCTGCGAGCTGTGATGCCATAGCACTCTACCCAGGATGACAAAGTGAGACTCTGTCTCAATAAATAAATAAATATAAAAACGCAAGTATTTATTACCATTACTAGGTCTCCTGCAGGGCCACTTTTTTTTTTTTTTTTTTTTGCCACAACGCCCAGCTATTTTTTTGTTGCAGTTGTCATTGTTGATTTTGGCTGGCATGGGCTGGCTTCGAACTCTCCAGCCTTGGTGTATGTGGCCAACACCCCTACCTACTGAGCTACAGGCACTGCCAGGGCCACATTTTCATCTCCTGCTTTCCCTATGACATTGAAGGGCCTTCATAATCTGGCCCTAACCTATCTTTCAGTTCTAGCTTCCCCAATTTTCTTTTACTTTCTTTCATGAAGCTCATGGTCTAACCATGCCAGACCAATTCCACTCCTGTAACAAGTCTTGTGCTTTCCCATGTCCATGCTTTTGGTTACTCTCTCTCTCTTTATCCTCACACATTTTCCCCTTTCAAATGCTATTTCCATCATACCAACCTTGACCTTATTATGTGGAGGTCATTTTGTCCTTTTAGATACTTACTTAAATTTGTTGTCTATAACATATTTATAAGAAGACATCTTCTTATATAATAGGCCTATGCCTATTAAATTTAAAAGATTCTTCAGAGCCAGGGCCATGCTTTGTTCATATTTAGATCCACTAGAATGTTTCCACCTTTTAAAATGGTAAGACAGAAAGTGCAAGAGATTTATAATAGAATTTGGGGATTCTTCCTTTGCTCCTCACAAGCTATTTAATGTTGGCAGGCTGCTTTAACGTCTCTTAAGACTTTGTTCCTTGCCTGTGTAATTAGAATAAAAATAACTACTTTCATGGGTGACCTCCTGGATTAAGTGGTATAATGTATATTTTAAAAGTATACTATTCAAATATTAGCTTTTATTATTATTGCCTATCACCTGACACTTTTTCATGTAAAGCAAACCAATGTAACAAGTAGGCTAATTAACAGGCTAAACAAAACATACCTAGCCACTGCCATGATTAATTTCACATTGCCCTCTGATTGGACAGGGAAGACTAAGAATTAACCACTTTCATGGCTATTCCACATTAGGCTAATTACAAACGTAAACCTTACCTCCTAGGCCCACTTGTCTACACAGTCAAAAATAGGCATTTTGTACTCAAGAAAAATGTCTTACTGACACAATGAATATTTTGACAACTTAAACATACATCATGGTGTTTTAACTCATTTCCAAAGGACCACTGTTGACTTCAGTGTCAACAAAGACACAAATCAAACTGCTGTGCCCAAAAATCTTCAAAGAGAACACCAAGAACCAGGGTCTAAGCCCCTTTGCTTTAGTTTCCAGTATAGTTTATACCAAACATTAAAGACCTAAATGTTTGGCTCAGGATAAGTAAAAGGCCAGAACGAATTGTTCCCAAACAAACAACAAAAATAAAGTACCTACTTCTACACGATGAGCAAGATAATCAGAAAAATTAGATGAATAAGGTTGAAACCTACTGCTTATAACACACGTCTCTGATGCACCCAAACTTGTAGAAGGCACCTCAACAACAGAGGGAAAATATCTTTCAAATATGTTGGGGGTCATGGACTACATCTCTGGGAAAATACATGCACACACACACAAATTTCCTAAGGCTTCACACACACAGTGATATCCATCAATAGACCCCTGGGTAAATTCTGATTTAAAGTGTTGAGCAAATTAAAAACACTAGTTGTAAAATTACCGGAAAAGGACAGCCACACAGTTTCAAAGTACTATTAAAAAGGGAAAAAGCACCTTTCCAATGAAATGATCTAACTGAAAATCACCTCAACAAGCTGTCTGCAACACAACCAAACTCCACATCAACAATAGTGAAACAGACTTGTATTATTGTGTCTCCTGATGTGATGTAGTAGGAAGTATTCATCACCAATGTGGTATTTCTTCAAAACATTTAACCAAAAACTAATCACGAAGAAAAGACAAAATCAAATTGTAGAACATCCTATAAGACAACTGACTTAGACTTCTGAAAAATGTTAATGCTATAAAGGACAGAAAAAATAAAAGAAGAATGTGGAGAAAAACAGACAGAAGACCTATTCTGGAGTAAAGGAGACTGCAGAAATAAAACAACCAAGTGTAATCAGTAATTCTTGGCTGGATTCTGAATTAGGGGAACAAAAAGTTATAAAAGGACATTTTTGGGAGAATTATAAAAATTTGGAAAAACAAACTGCATCCTGATTTATTTTTTATTGTATTTATAATGTTAGATCTGGAGTGGTCAGTACTGTGGTTTTACGTAGAATAATAACCTTGTTCTTAGGGTGTCATGATGTCTGCCACTTGCTTTCAAATCACCGAGAGAGTGCACATATGTGCAAATGTCACAAAAAATTTAAAACAGAGCATTGAACAAACATGACCACAATATATCCAAAGACCTGGCTTTCTTTTGAATGCTCATGATTTGGAATTCAGCTAAATTTTTAAATGAAAATATTGTAATAAAAAACATTTTTTTTTTTTTGGGTCTTACAGCTTTGGAAACAATGCCTTGCTTAAATTCAAATAAATAGGGAACTTGTATAAGTTGATCTGCTAGTTTTATAAGTCTCAGTTGATAAAATAACTTGCTCTTCATTTTTTGTTCCAACATTTTTTTTTTTTGAGACAGAGCCTCAAGTTGTCCCCCTAGGTAGAGTGCTGTGGCATCACAACTCACAGCAACCTCCAACTCCTGGGCTCCAGTGAGTCTCCTGCCTCCGCCTCCCAAGTAGCTGGGACCACAGGTGCCTGCCACAGCACCTGGCTATTTTTTGGTTGCAGCCGTCATTGTTGTTTTTGGCGGGCCCGGGCTGGATTTGAACCCACCACCTTAGGGATATGTGGCTGGTGCCTTAGCCACTTGAGCCACAGGCGCCGAGCCTTGTTCCAACATTTCAAAGGATACAAGTAATTTCAGAGGATGGCTCTTGTCAAATAGTACTGAGTCCTTTTGAAGAGGAGTACACAAAGATGAAAACAACAAGGAAACAAACTTTTCTGAGCTTTCAAAGACAGATAAGTCTGGAGAAGTAAAGAAATGAATTGAATTTTCCAAATATTTCCCCATAATTCCATTTACCCATTAGGAGTATAGGTTTTTGTAAGCAAATAAAAAAACCTTTTTTTCTTTGATCAAAAGTTACATGAAAAACTCAGCAAGAACAGACCATTTCTGCAACCTTTAGAACACACTGAGAAAGTTTCATTGTTTTCATGAAAGAGACTTTTCTTCTTTCCTCCACCCTGGATTTAAAATCACTATGTAGCTATGGATATTAATCTATGATAAAGCTTATTGTGCTGAACTGTCCAAAGGCAGAAAATTTCTACCTAGTACATCAGAAAGGGAACACGCAGTTTGTTCTATTATGGACACACCAGATAAGCCTGCACTCTCCAAAGTGCTAGTCAGCAAACACCTGAGATATAACAGAAAAATGAGCATATGCTTAATATTTCATTAACGGTATACTTAATGCTTAATATTTCATTAACGGTTAAAACTTAAGTTAACATAACTAAATCAGATCTCCCCAAATGAGAAGTCATCTTAAAGCCTTACCTGCTGATTCTCCATATCTATTACTATGCTGTTGTTCTCTTTGTTAGAAAATAGATATTGTGCATCAGATTATGCTACTGTCTAACAAGAGTTTTTAGAAACAAGACAATTCTTTGGTAAATTCACTTTACTTCTCAGTACAAATAATTACTGAAGAAAACAAAGCTAATAGACCAAATTTGCTTTAACTCTGACTGCTTAGTTGAATTGCTGGTTTTGAATAA